TACTTTGATATTCTGAACTATTGATGTTGGATCTAAAAGCAGTAGAAAGCACAAAAACATAGAGCCAGATGAAATACAGCTATAGATTAGCAGAAACTCTGTTTCTAAGCCAGCAGAAACTAGAATTAAGTATTAAACCTTCCATTACTGCATTATATGGTTTATTTCCTTCAGCTGTTTTGAAGGTCATAGGACTTGTTCTTTAAAAAAAAAGAAGTTCACATTATAGTTCTTGCTTTTATATAGCCACTTCTTTTTCTGAGACTCATAAAATTTCTCAGTACTAATGTATTTTCTTAATTAAAAGTTCAGAACAGCAGGATAATAATGGAGTACCACCTCAAGCATTCTTCAAGCTGTTTCTATTCTCTGTGGGCTTCTTGCCTGTGACTTGTACCACCACCTAGTGGTAGTCAGAAGCATTTCCATTTTATTGGGTTATGAAGCTAAACAAGAACGAAAACACTTTCACCATGTTGGGTAGCTGCTTTGTTTAAGAAAAAAAAATGCAGATTAGTACTTGGCAGAGGAGTGTACAAAGTAGCTTATTTGCATTGTCTGAATGTTCAGTTTAGGAAAGAATAAAAATTGAAAACTAATATTGGAATTAATGTGCCCAGTAAAAGAAGGCTCTTATCTAAAGCAAAGCTTTGTAGTTAAGCCAGAGCTTAAAAATTAAACAGATCTGAAAAATAAACAGTAGCTGAAGTCCTAAGCTTCCACTGTCCTGATACATCGCTGATTGACCCCTAGTAGCTGTGGGGTCAGCAGGGACCTGCCTTGCCTGTTGTGGTATTCTGTATGCAGCACCTAGCACAGTGTCTGGCACATAGTAGATTTATAATAACTTTGAATGAATAAATGAAAGCTATTAGAGGCACCAAAAATAAAATCTTAGCATTTTTCCTTATAAAGAAATGGCTTGAATTTTGTCAGTACCACAGGGATTTGGAAAATTAGCACATTTTAGTAGATATACTTTTAAAGGATGTAAAGGTGGTTTGTTGGGAGGTTTGCTTGTTGGTGTAACCACATCCTGCTTACCTGTGTATCAAATGGAAAATAAAGAGGAAGTTCAGTCCTCTTTAACCGATTAGGTTGAGGTTGTTATATGTGGTCAGGTGGCTTAAATGAACCAGTTGTGATGCTGAAGCAAAGTTAATTCTTCACCTCCTAAATTATTAGAAGACTGACTTAAAATGAGGAATAGCTAAGTTACATAAAATAACCTTTCCTCTAAACAAGTCTAGATAAAGGCATTAAAATTCTAATTAGATGCCTGCTGAGAGTAACCACGCATCCTGGTTTGCCTATAACAGCTTTAGCTTATTCAAAGTGTTCCTTCCTCCCCTATTTTCTGATTGAGTTTTTTGAAGGATTGATAGTATTTCTTTTTTAAATATTTAATTTGGATCCACAATCAATACCCATGGAAGCAGCAGTCAAGAAATCAAGAGATGCATTGCACTGGGCAAATCTGCTGCAAAAGACCTCTTTAAAGTGTTAAAAAGCAAAGATATCACCTTGACGACTAAGGTGCACCCGACCCAAGCCATGAAGTGTTTTCAATCGCCTCATATGCATGTGAAAGCTGCACAGTGAATAAGGAAGACTGAAGAAGAATTGATGCCTTTGAATTGTGATGTTGGTGAAGAATATTGACTATACCCTGAACTGCTAAAAGAACAAACAAATCCGTCTTGTAAGAACTACAACCAGAATGCAAGGATGGCGAGACTACGTCTTACATACTTTGGACACATGAAGAGGGATCAGTCCTTGGAGAAGGACATCATGCTTGGCAAAGTACAAGGTCAGCGAAAAAGAGGAAGACCCTCGACGAAGTGGATTGACACAGTGACTACAACAGTGGGCTCAAGCATAACAATGATTGTGAGCATGGCGCAGGACCGGGCAGTGTTTCGTTCTGTGGTGCATAGGGTCACTATGAGTTGGAACCGACTCAACGGCACCTAACAACAACAACAAATATTTTATAGAATTCACAGTAAAGAAATCTGGGCCAGGGTTTTTCTTGATGGGAAGATTTTTAAATTACTAGTTCAGTTTCTTTACTTATTATAGGTCTATTCAGAGTTTTATTTCTTCTTGAGTCTATTTTGGTAATTTGTGTCTTTCTAGGGATTCTTCTATCCTAAACTGTCTAATTTGTTGCCATAAATTGTTCATAATATTTTCTTATAATCTTTTTGATTTCTGTTGTTTTGGTAGTGATGTCTTGTCTCTTTTCTTGATTTTGGTAACTGGTGTCTTCTCTCATTTTATCTTGGTAATTGTAGCTTGAAGTTTGTCAAATTTTTTTTGTATTTTTGAAGAACCAACTTTTTATTACATTGATTTTCTTTATTGTTTTTCTGTTTTCCATTTCAGTCATTTTCATTTCAGTTTTTATTTTCTTCTGCTTGGATTTGGTTTAGTTTGCTCTTTTTTTTAGTCTTAATCTTAAAATGGAAGCTTACCTGATTGATTTGGGACCTTTCTTATTTTCTCATATAGGGATTTAAAGCTACACATTTTCTTCTAAGCATCACTTTAGGGATATCTCATAAATGGTGATATGTTGTATTTTCATGTTCATGCATTGCTTGGCTTTCAGCAGGTTGACTAAGATGTGTCTACATATGGATCTCTTTGTGTATATTATAATCTGTGTTTGTTCAGATTGTGTAGATGGATATTTCTCAACAAATTTTGTAAGTTTTAGCCTTTATTTCTTCAAATATTTTTCTGACTCTTTTTTTCCTCTCTTCTCCTTCTGGATTCCCATACATGTATGTTGGTATGCTTCATGTTAACTCACAAGTCTCTGAGCTCCGTTCATTTTTCCTCAGTCTTCTTTTCTCTGTTCTTCAAATTGGATAATTTCTATTGATTTTATCTTCAAGTTCATGGATTCCTTTTTCTGCCATCTCAAATAGTCTCTTGAGCCCCTCTGTGAATAGTTCATTT